ATATGCTTGTCAAAGTAGTTGCAAAACGTTTCTATGATTTCATAAACACTCTTATATTAAACTGAGGGTAACAAACCTTCTAAACACCGACCAGGCAGATGGCTTCCAATTGGTACTTTCAATTCATGTACTGTGTACATAGGTCATAAGCTCCTCTATTACGGGGTCGTTGTTTTCGTTCCTCAGGGAATTGAATACTGGAACAGCGCATTCTGATGGTAGGTAGGGGAGTGCCATCAATTTCTTGAGAAAGAGGTGGACTGCATGGTCTTGATAATCTCTTACAAGACCAAAGAACTGGATCTGACAAAAGAAAAAAAAAGACACTTATTAGAGATCTCAGAAGAAACCTCTCAGAATGTACTACAATCAATGCACATTAGTGTGTGAATAACAGTATCCTTGCAAGTCCTCTAGATTAGCAATAGTAACCATGATAATGATAATAATAAGCATTTACCTTGCGGAAAACAGCCTGGCTCCAGTGGAAGGCACATCCCTTCAGCTTCACACCAAGTAAAACCCGACTTCCATGTTGCTGCCTCGAAGTCGAGCACCACTCTCTTTGACTTGTTCTTCCGTTGGCAGTATTTCAATGACTCTCTCCATTACCTAAAAGCAGAAATGGTGCCAATCTTTGTACATTACATCTCCAAGAAGGAAATCATCTAGTATGTGTTCTGCAATCTCAAAGTCAAAGTCGTTTGGATATTTAGGTCTACTTTTTTGACAGCCCTTGTTGGCAGTCCAGGCCATGTAGTCCACTTTGGGAAGAGCACTACAGGGTCCCTGGTCCATGTTCTCCGACATGACCTTATCAAGATAAGTTAAAGTTAGATAAGTTTTGAACTTATCTAAGATAGGGGCATAAGATGGAATGAGATAAGATGAAAGTAATATAATACCTCTATAATAATTACTGATGCAGATGTAAACACATCTTCCATCGCACGTTTGTTGACTTCCTTGCTAATTTTAGCTGCCATTAAAAATCCAGTTTTTGGTTCATGGTTGTGGTTTATAGGGCCAATCACAAATTCAGCACCACATTGCTTGACATGAGCTTTGCATGAAGCGACCTATATAACAACAATTATTTCATAAAAATCCATTTTTTGATTCTACTTTATTTGGAATACCGGTCGACAGGTATACCACAGTTTATATACTATTAATGATCTTGTAGTGTGACCTTCAAGAATGTTCTAGAAGTAGCTGTGTCATGCTGAGTCATCCCTGAATCGATATATAAATAGAATCTATTATGATGTTGCGGAACGTTCTAGATCCTCAACTTTACCTTTAGAAGCCGAGCTTGTAACTAGATCTAGCGAGTAGTTTAGTTGCTGGTATAGCCCGTCAGATATCAATAAAGGTGTATGCTTCAGAATACAAGACGTCCACACTTCAGATCTAATAATACCATTTATGAAATTCGAAACTTAAAGACATGTCAAGAGAACTGAAATACATTGCAAACATCATCTTATTAAGTATCTTATTTATAGGAGATACTTACCTTTCCTCTTTTAGTGCAATGCCAGTTAATACCACTTTTGCCAGAATACTTATTTGTGTAGCTGTACTCACGGCTGTTCACAAGGATGTCACCGACCCTTTTCGAGGCATCTTGAACCACTTCAAAGGATTGGGACTCGAATGTTGGCTGACAGCCCTCAGGTGATGGATCTTCAAGGATTGCTTATGAAAAAGATAGAATGGATAGAATTAGGATATCATTGCATTATCTAAGAACATATTTAATTAAGTTATCACTTGTTAAAATAACATAATTGCAGTTATAAGTTATTCAGTCCTCATATAACAATATATCTGGTGCATTTAATCGCTAATATCCCTCAATGCCATATTACTTAAAAATGTATGGAGTTGTAATAGATTTACCCACCCATAGATCTGATGCTGTCTTCCATGCTGACGTCCATTGGCTCCTCTGGTGTTTCTGTGACAAAGAAAATCAGCAATTTAATTAAAGAGACCAGTAAACTACTAATATTGCAAAAAAGGAAAAAAAAAAAAGGAAAACATAGCTCAGGACATTATGAGAAGGAAATGTGTCAGTGTTATGTAAACTGCCACTATAATACACTTAACATCAAAATCAGCTGGAGTTGCCGGAGGATAAGCAGAATTGTCTGTGACTGGAACTGTTAAACCTGTGCATTAAAACAAAATGCAAACTAAATCAACAACAGTGAAGGTAATAGACGCTTAACAACAAGCCTAATATTCCCATTTCTTTCGCGCGAATTAAACAGCAAGTCTTTATTTTTGTCACTATTTAATAAAATATATTACGTTACAACTTAATTTTAAAAAAATGTTATATCTTTGACGAAAAGACTTGATATTGGACGAATGGACCTTAGACTTTAGACGAAAAGACTCTTGGACGAAAAGAACGGATATCGAACAGATGATGTCCTGAACTCACAGATTACGACAAGGGACAGTAAGAAAATTCCTGAACTAAAAGGAGAAACAGTTGCTACCGGGAAGGCCGTCAATAGGAATACGGTAGCGAGTAAAAGTACTGCTAAAAATGTGGTGACTTGCTCGAGTGTGATGTCCACAGGGCAATCCTCTCGTGTTTTGTAAGGTTTGAAGGAACTGAAGGACCTTCAACAACAGTCGCCATCTTCTATGAATGACATGATTTCAACTATGAAATCTGCATTGAAAACTTTCACTTGAAATAAAACTTCTCGTAAGAGGAAAAGAGACGAAATGAGTGATTCGGACCAGGAAAGCGACGAGAAATCCACAACTGAAACGGGGGAAAAACCGCTCGATATTTCTAGGGAAAGTTAAGGAACTTCTAAATGCGAGCGACCCTTCAAGAAAGGTAACCGGTGAATGCTAAATTAGCTTTGCTTGTTGACAAGATGGTAATCAAAGTGCTCTGTGAGCAAACTCGTGAATTGACACATGATTTTTTGGATTATGTTTAATGTTATCTGGTTTAGGGAATTTTGTGGTTGATTGTCATATCTAGAGTACGAGCACTGAGTAGTTCAGTGTTCGCTAATGTAGCAAAGAAATAAAGTAACGTTGGGATAAGAAGGCATTACAAATGAAATGATCATGCTATTGCAATTGACAAGGGTGGATGATGTCATGTGTTTTAAACGTCTATCATTTCTGTTTCTGGTTCAAAAGAAAAGGTTGGAAGTAAATGTGGGTAAAAAGTGAAATTTACTGTCTATCATTGTAAATATTACAAAATCAAGGCAATACTGTCTTAATGAGGACATTAACGATTCCCTCTTTATCAAATGAGACAAACGGGAACAAGTTTTGAGTGATATAACTAAGCCAAGACTGCCACCGTCATTTTGGATCTCCGCCTGGGTAGATTTTAGTCACGTGCTAGGCAACGTACTGAATCAATAACAAGATAGAATTTCATTTCAGGCCTATTTATCAATTTTGCGGTGTATAACTTTCGCATTTTAGTACGTAATATGTATTTTAAATCTTCAAATTGTCTTGAAACTTAAAAGAAAATTGTTCTTTAAAAATTCACTGAAAATCGGTAGCTAAAATTGTTTGTTTAGGTGTTATTTGATTTTCGTGTTAACTTGTAATTTCGTTAGTCGCCGGCATAATGATCATAATGATCATAATGATCGATTTTGTCCTCAATCTCACGCCGTAGCAGAAAAAGTTTTTGAACATCTGTAAACTCCGAGCGCTTCGCAGTAAAGGATATTTTCAATGAATCTTCGGATTGTTTTCAAGTGCAAGGATTGTAAATTACAATTTTATGAAAAACGAAGGTTGTTCTGTTATTTCATTGTGAATCCTTGCATGCCTGCCAGTCGCTGGCGCCGCTTGTTGAAACCAAAACGAAAAAAAAAACTCCTTTAAGATTATCATTGACTTCTTTGTCACCCCACCTCTATTCTTAGCAACAAAGGTCACCATTTCGTTTGTTTTTTGCTCGCCAAAAACTATCAAATGCACTCAAAAGCCTAAAATCGAAAAAAAGTTTATCGAGCGAGCGAGCGAGCGAGCGAGTGCCATTCCCCACATCGTATCTACAACTCGCTCTTGCGCATGCGCAATTCACGAGTTAAAAACCAGTCTCGCTGAGGACAAAACAAAAAAAAGCACGAAAAGTATAACAGACCAGAAAACTGTGAAAATTTGATAAACACAAGAGTGAATCCAGATTTCTGGAATAACATTAGAGCAAATACCAGGTCCAGTCAAGTCAACTCTTCTGAAGACTATGATCCCTATTATCAAAATATCTGATAAATTGCTGGAGTTAAAATCAAACTCCAAAGCAGTGTTTAAAGGGGATATCTCAGATTTTCTTCAGCCCTCATCAGATTCTCTAGCTCTTTTGGGACACTCTATAATTGAGGTCAATATCAAGCATCATGAGCTTATACAACCTGACTTAAATGATAAATTCAAGCAACTTTGCAGTGCTCAAACTCCTGTGACTAAAATGCTATTTGGAGATGACTTACCAAAGTCAGTGACTGAAATTTCTGAAACAAAGAAAGTGGGTGTCAAAGTTTCATCCAAACAGACAGGATATCACCACAAGCAGCAAGGGAGATCAAATTTCTCTTATTGCCAGAACCACCAGAATCAGAAGCCTTTTTAATGGAAAACTTAGGGCTGGGGAGAGATCTTCTCTAGACCCCAAATGGAAGGGGAGACGCAAACAACAACAATAACTGCTGCTAAGCCTTAACCTAAACCTAAATTTGCTGGTGAGTCTTAATAATGATAATGATCATGCCAATGCATATAGCATATCATTTGTTGCTGGTATATTAAAACATTTTCTACCTGCATGACAAACTATAACCTCTGATTATTTTATACTTAGTTTTGTAAAGGGGTCAAAATTGAGTATTGTAACAATCCCCAGCAGACCATCATTCCTAGAGAATACAATTTCAATGTAACTAAGGCACTTATTATTGTCAATCAAATTGCAAAGTTTTTAGAAACAGGATTTATTGAGAAAACAACACATTCTGAAGAATACATATCCAACATTTTTATTTGGCTGAAGAAAGATGGCTCATATCAACTGATTCTCAGTCTGAAATATCTAAATCAATCTGTGCAATATCACCATTTCAAAAAAGAAAAACTAAGAAGTGCCATCACTCTAATGAGCCCTAACTGTTACATGGCTAACATAGATTTAAATGATGCCTACTATTCTGGGTCTATAGACCCAAATCATAGAAAATATCTTTGGTTCAAATGCAAGAACCACTTTTTTCAGTTTACTTGTCTTCCCAATGGATTGAGTAGTGCTCTGAGAATATTCACAAAATTAATGAAGCCAGCATACTCAACCTTGCACTCCAAAGGTTTTGAGAATGTGGGCTATATAGATGATACTTATCTCAAAGGGAACACTTTTCAGGATTGTGATGCAAACAATCAAGCTATTCACAAATTTGGGCCTTACACTTAACAGAGAAAAATCAGTTCTTGTTCCTACTTAGTATATTAATCTTATGGGTTTCACACTAAACTCTGTTGAAATGAAAGTTTCTCTGACACCCACAAAAGCCACAAAGATCAAATTAAAAGCAGTTGGCTTGTACCATAACCTCTCTCCCACCATTTAGACTGTCTCTGAGGTGATTGGTCTTATGGTAGCAAGCTTCCCTGGGGTACGGTATGGTCCCCTATATTATAGTCAACTTGAACTAGAGACAAGGTTAAAACCTTAAAACAAAATAAAGGCAATTTTAAAGCCATCATGACTCTTTCAGACATGGCAAGATCTGATCTTCTATGGTGGACTGAAAATATCACCACCTCATGTAACACTGCAACCCATGGTACACCCCAAGTAACAATTCATTCAGACGCCTTTCTGACTGGCAGTGAGGAGTTCTTAATTCCATATCAACTAGGGGTCAGTGGTCTGAGGATCAATCTAAACATTATATAAATTATCTTGGAATTTTAGCTTGTTTTAGATTTTTTATTGTCAAATTAATAACTCGAAAAGCCTTCAGCTAAAATTTGACTTGTCATAAAAAAGCTTATACTTTCTTGATTTGATATCTCTATTAGCAATAAAACCAGAAAGCATTTTCTTTTGTGTTATTAATTATATATATACCTGACTTGTTAAAGTACATTGTTGTGAAATGATGTACTTAGCAATAATTAATCTAAATAGACAAAACTGTATTAATGTTTAAATTGTTCCCTGGACCACCCGGACATCTGGAGCAGCTCATAATGCATTTTGGGAGTGGTAAGGATGCTTGCTTCATAGTGGCTATGGCTGTACCTGTCCTTGAATTTACCCTGTTGGTTGAAGTGGATTTTCCATACATTGTCTGTTATTTTCTTTCAGGAAACTTTAGTCTGCAAGAAGAAAAGTTTTTTACAAAAGAATCCTTTCCTATAACATGTGTAACTGTTGATTAAGTTTGCAATATTACTGGTATTTTTTATCATAACAGAATTTTCTCAAAAATTACTTGACATCGGATTCTCATACAAATACTGCATGGTCACGCCTGCCCACCAACCCATCAAGTTGGTGTTGAAAACTGCATTAAGGTCTATTGAATATAGTTAAACTACTGAGTTTCACTCTATGACTTACAGCTACAAAATATGGGGCTTTCTATGATTATGTACTAAACAACAACAACAAAAAAAAGCTCTCTTGGCTCATTTGCATGAAGACACCTGATATAATACAATAAATGTCTCGTTTTTGTATCCTGAGTCAGTACAGTTAGAATCTATATTTAGATCTTAATTATTATCATTTAAATCCAACTAAATGTAATTCTTTTATTACTTTTCCACTGACTGCCAAACCAGCAAGCCTTGAGGCATTAAACAGAGAGGACTTTAAAAAAGGCCCTGTAATGTGTACATGCAGCTGCTTTGGGGGAGGGGAGTGATAAAGTTTCAAATTTGTTTAAGAGTATGTAACACAATAACAATAATGACGATAATGATAATAATAATGACAATAATAATAATAATAATAAATTTTCTCCATCCTTTGCTGCAAACACATCTGACCTATAGTAATCAGTGGAACATATCAGAATAGCCTTTTTATTAATGCAAGGCCTCGGTGGTCCACAGTTATGATATGGAAATAATTTTCTCTTGTGTGAGGCATCAGTCAATTTAGGAATTACCAAGTGTAAAATTTCAAGTCAATATGGTCCAGAAACTATTAATTTTTTTAGAGGGAAGGGCTGGGGGGGAGGGGTCGAAATTATTAAGTTTGCGTACTATTTTCACTCTGCACCCTGAGCACTCATATACGCACACTTCAAATGGATGCGCAACATAACAGCGACAAAAAATAATCGAGCAAATAACTAGGACGTGCAAAGCTTCCAGGGATAATATAAATTTACTGCTCTAAACAGTGAAAAGGTCTTAAAGATTTTACTCTTAGCTTCTTTTAAGGTACAACTTCCTATGACCTTCTGACGAGATTATCAAGTTGTCAAATACGTATTTCAATATGACTGATGCCAATTGTCTCATAAAGTCGAAATAAGCTGAATGTCAAGAATAAATAAGTGCTACACTTAAATAAATAAATAACTAATTAACTACATTTATGACAAATTTTGTAGTTCATTAAAATAAGGTACTTGGTTAGATAACATGGTTCAACGAAAGGTTAATGTTGTTTGCCTGCTGGGATTTGGTCTTCAAGACCAATGTCAACGTTACCGCTATTTTGACGCGCTAAAAATTACATTTAATAAATTTTCAAGACCTGTTCTCGATGAGGTGCACTTCTTCACTTTGGTTCAATTTGACCATGAGTAGTGTTTAGAATTAGCAAAGAAAGCGTATTTTAGCCAAAGGCAGAAGATTCGTATATGAACGGAGCTCAGCGAGATAAGGTATTATTCTTTCTCGCGAAAATTACAAAAAAAAAGTTACTAGATAAGTTCCCATTTGTTTTTTCCCGAACAAAAATGTTCCCTTCCCTGTCCCCTCTCCAATGGCACTTCAACCAGTCGGGAGAGGTGAGTGAAGAATATTGTCCGTATGTCATCAGAAGGCTTGGTTACCTAATTGAGCCTGGTGTCTAAACTCCTTCAGAAAGTGATCCCAAAAAATATTTTTGCGCACATAGGATCCCTGTACCGAATGATGACGAAATAGAATTGAGAATTAAACGAGACTTACCACTAATTTGAAATATGATAGCAATTCTATTGAGTCATCATGAGGTCCTAGTCTAATGCCCACCCTTATTTGCGTATGAAATAAACCCACCCAATTTAAAGTGTGCAATTCATTGTTCGCCTTCAAAGTTGATTTCGGGGATTGGATTTCGCAATCTCATGTGATCTCCAGCACCTCATGATGACTCAATAGAATTACCATCAAACTTCAACTTACAGGTAAGTCTCGTTTAATTCTCAATTTCATAATTTCAATTCTTTGGTCTGTGAATTGTAAATTTAAGATTCGATGTGTTTAGAGGAGCAAGTGGTACTCGGTATCGTTAATCTATTCGTCAGCTTGCAAATTATAATTTTTGCCTTTCTTAGACACATAGCTGAAAGGGAGGGAACGTCGATGCTTTCAATTTGTTTAGAAACGAGACTGTAAACTGCAAAAAAATTTGCCAAAGAAATTACGAGAATGTGAGACGAAAGGCGGAAATAAAATGCAATTTGCCGTTGCTGGTTTAACAAGCAACGAAAGCCACATCATAATGTGTTTATGTTGCCGATGTTGCACTTTTCATTAATTGTTTTCTCTTTCCGAAATGATAACCTTGAAAAGGCGACCATTTTCATTGATCCTAGGTTAAACCCCATAGGGGAAATACTGTAAGTTTTGACCTTCGAAAAATCAGTCATTTTTAACCCAGGCTGTAAATTCAAAAATTGAATAAATGATCGTATTTAACAAAGAAATCATTTGTTGATTCTTCCACTACATAAATATCAAATAGATATAGGCTGACTTCCTATTGGGCTTTTAAAAAGAAAAGTAAATTTGTCCCCATTCAGGCCTCTCGTTTTCAGTTTTCATTCTGATGAAAAGGAGTTTTACAATTATTTTGTGAAATGACGCTAATTTCATTTCGTTAGTTTTGTTTCATAAAGTATTCTGACCACTGAAAAATATGTTGCTATGAAGTTTGGCCTTGCCTTTTGGGGTGAAAGAGCTCAAACACAAAAAGTAGGGACCATCATTGCACCTTAAGTAATTATATGCCTTCAGGGGTCTTCTCCACGTCATTAACTTCATAAACGTGCTCTAGCTCAAAATCAAAAGATAGGTACTTTGTAAAAGATGACGCACATGTTTTGCATTGTTGACCGGAGCCGTTGGCTCAGTAACCTGCCCACACGACCACTTAATCAATGGCCCAGACCTGTCACTTCAAAGGACTTGAATGGGTGCGGAATACAAAAATTATCTTAATGATAATTACACAGTATTAATTCGATGGTTCAGATCACTTTATCTGTCCGTTAATTCTTTGTATTCTACCAATGAGACAAATAAATGAAAGCTGCAAATATAGACACCCAGTCGCAGCGATCTAAGAAGTGAGCAATTAAGTTATAATTGCACTGCATTTGTCATCGGGCAAAATGTCAAAACTGATATACGTCGAAACCTACATTTTCAAATTTTTTTCAAAAGATTAATTATTTAGCTAGAGATCTTTGGACGAAGTGTTAAACTTATTAGTTCATTGCAGCTTTCACTGTATCTTACCACATCGAAGTAGTTTTGCAATGATGTAAAAGAAAATGTTCACAAAAACGTTGTTTTTCCACTCTTTTACACCAAGTTTAAGACTTCCAACGTGTCGCAGAAAAAAAGAAACACTGCACGATAGGTGTTCAAGACGCCCCTGATTATGCAGAAACCGGGAGACAAGTATATTACAAAACTGAGAAATTAACATTTATCCCCAAACCCAGGGTAAACGAAATAAATTTTAACCTGAATCTTACTACAATATTAAAATCTTGTGACATCAAACTGATCCTAGCTGTTGAAAAAATAAGAAATAACAACGAAAGCCTGAGGCTATTCGGTAAAACTTATACATAACTACATAGATAATAACATAGAATATAGCGATACGATGGCCATTAAAGCACCGTAATGTCGAATGGATCTCTTAAGAACAAACAGAAGTGTAAGTAAACGCAAATTGAAACAGTGAGACTCGTTTTGAGATAAAGAACAAATTATTGGGAACAAAGGAAAAGGTCCATCTGCGACCACATTAAACCTAAAATAGTTAAAGATATTTGAAAGTGACGAACAGTGACGCTTTTAATTTCAAGTCCAATATTTACATCCTAAGTGATTTGAAGAATTGAAAAGGCATAGTGTTAGTGAGAAATTTTAGATAAAAAAATGTCACTCAAGTGGAATCGGAGGGCTTGGGTCAAACTGGAAATAAGAAATAACAAATTCGCACTTTGTTTCCGTCAAGATTATTCAATTACACGGTTTGCAACTATAAACAGTTCTTCTTAAGTAGTTTTGGTCACCTTAAATCCTAAAATGAAGTGAACTAGACTGTATTCAAATAAAATCATTATTTCTAGCGTATTGAAGTGTGCTTTTGTTTACTATTTTTGTTTAAGAAACAGTCGTTCAATCATACTCTTCTGTGTGCAACTATTGATCGTACTGCTCTTTTGTTTGTCAAAATGAGAAATAATGAAAATAACTTTGTCATACAGAGCTCTTTAATTTGTTTTAAACATATCTCGTAGCTTTTAAACGATTGTGGAAGAAATAGCGTTTTTTGCGGCTCGGTTCAGTTGCCTAGTCACCGTATAACATAAATATGTTCGAAAATGATTGCTTGCGTTCAAAGATTAGGTGCGGTTATCAAAACGGATCTTCCTGTTTATGAAAACTATGGATTTTTGTGTTCCCGTGCCTGGTAAATATATGTTGATTTTTATTTTGCATGTTTGATAGTTATCTGAGCAACAACACTACCCTTATGAATCGCCAGTTTCTGAGTGTGTAATGTTATTTAAGTTGAGTTTGAGGTTTTTCTTAACAATTGACAGGACTAACTTATTGCAATTAAACGTAGCTTAGGCGTTAATCAATCCTTCCAAACCTATTGTCTTCTCGTGAAACCTCCGCAAACAGTAGACTCAAGCATCATGGAACTGAACTCACTTATTTAAAAAAATTGATCATCCCGTGATAACTTGATACCTTTTACTTTAGTCACGAAACCTTAAAGTGGTTTAGACCAAGTAACAGTCTACACGTATGGATCAAGACCTTAGTTTAACTCAGTGTGGCAAGTTGTCCGTATCAAGAGTAAGACAACTGAAATTTGAAGTATCTTAATTAGGTCCAGGGAGAGTAAATCAACTCGGCGGTATTTACATCAACGGAAAGCCCCTACCCAATGAAGTCCGAGAAGAAATCGTTGAATTGGCGCGACGCGGAGTTCGTCCTTGCGACATTAGTCGAAGGCTAAAAATTACCCATGGTTGTATCAGCAAGCTGCTATCAAAATATCAGAAAACGGGATCAATTAATGCTGGAGGTGCTAATGTCGGAAGGCCAAGAGTGATAACTCTCCGAATGGAGCAGAAGATAGAGCAGTACAGGCGAGAACAACCAGGAATTTTCTCCTGGGAGCTGCGTGATCGCCTATTGCGTGAAAACGTGTGCAATAGGGAGAATCTACCTTCGCTAAGTTCAATTAGCCGCCTTATCAAGCACAAGATGATCAATCTAGTCTCTAACAGAAAACGAGAATGCAGTGCGAATGAGGGCGAGTTTGCTGCTGTCGACACCAACACTTCCCATTCAAATGGTGAATCGTTAAATCAAAGAACGGAAGGGCATGCACGTAAGCAAGGTAAGGGAACAGTGATCACTTCTACTTACCGATGTTGTAACCAGCCTGTGTAACAATGCTTTCCATTTCCTCTTGACTAAGTGAGAGTTGCATATGGTTATGAGGCGTGAAGGAGCTACAAATCACAAGCCGCGTCGTAAAAAATCCTCTTCCCCTGATATCAAGATATTTTAAATTTCCTGATATTAATCCTTTAGCTCTTATTTTTTTCGTCAAGATATTATAAATTTATAATCCAATTTTTAATCGCCTGTCTTATATCAATACCCATGCCAACCAAAAACTTGAGATTTGGAGTATAACTAAATATTGAATAAAATTGATATTTCATTTTTCGACGAACTTATCTGTCTATGAAATAAAGAATTTCTGATTCCACGCAGAATCGTATAACCTAACCTCGAAGCGTCTAAATTCCTCCTTCTAAAATATTTAAGATGGTTCGCGTTCTAATTCAGATGAGATTATCGAGAGAGTATTCAAATATGATTGTGACGTAATGCTTCGTGTGTTCCCCGGCAGAATTAAAAAAAATCAAACACTTTTGAAAAACGTGTAAAGTAATTTCAAATGCAGATGTGAAGGAGATTTAGAAAAGTCGCCCAGTTTGATTCTTAGTTAAGTTGTCTCCCCCCGCCCCCAACATTGAGCCCAGTGAAAAAAAAGGTCAAAAGAAAGAAAAATCACAGCGCTTTGACTGCCTCGATGATCATGAGCTTAAGGAGTTCTTCTAAGGAGCTCATGCGAAGATGATATAATATGAGAAAACTAGGTAATAAAAGTATAAAGGGCCCCTTGAATTTTGCCTTTAAGAAATACAGTAAAAGTTTATGTAAGACATATTATACTGAAAAGTGAGCGCGAAAATCACTCCAAGCTCTGTGCTACAGACGGTAAATATTTTGAATCAGACTTTGCACGTTACGCCGCCCCACGTTACCTGTCAAATTTTCTCGAAGTATATTTTTCTGGTACGTTCTCGGTGTAAAAATTTACCATTACATTGGTAGCGATAGTCGTGGACTTCTCTTTATTCAGAATGGTATTTCAAACTAAATCACCATATCATGACACCCTCTGCCTGTAGGAATGGAAATTCCCTCGTCCATTATCGCAGCTGCTCCACTAGGTGTGCCGCAGTGTTCTCTCACATATTCCAAAATCTACAAACCACATAAGCTGCCATAAGTCTTCTAAGGGGACCAGCAGATCCCTAGCTTGTGCAGTGATTCACATGAAACGATAAGTGATTCAACTTCTCAACCATGTTAGCCAGATGCCACATCGGGCAAGTTCATTTCACTTTCAAATTGGTCGAGCGCAGTGACATTCGTTTTCAGCCAAAATAAATTTCTCGCTTTAAGTTCTTCCCCTACAGAAAAATTTTGGTGCATTTGTGCAAGGTTCGGTCCATAAAAAGTCTGAAAAGTTCGAACCACGTTTGAAGTGGGCCTTACTTAGAGTTTTCTGGAGTTATACATGCAAAGGCTGTGAAAGTGAAATAGCTAATCTGAGTTGAATATTACTTTAAAGGGATTTGCTTTCTGACTGTTGTTTGAGAGAATGTTTAAGGTTATATCAAATTAATTCAAAGATTATGTTCTGCCGAATAAGTAAACAGTAACTTTGCCACCGACTTGATTAAAATAAACAATTGGAGACTTGGGGATGGAAGCTGAAAATTTGCACCTGGATTGAATATTTTTGCGAATTATTCATCATTGTTTCAAGTTTTTGACAGTAATCCGTCACTCATAATTTATTAAAAGTACGATTTTCTTTGCTCAGAAAAAATTGTTATGGGAATGAACAGGAATAACAGGAATGATGTGGTAATGTTATAATAATTAATAATCTGGGTATCTACTCTTTTTAACGTTTTCTACAGTTCGATTGCTGTAAATTAGATATATAAGTGATTTACTATTTGATACCATGGCATAAGAAAATAATGGATACCCCATCAAAGCACACAAATTATCAAAAAAACCGTCATGATAAACAAAGGAGACAAGCTCGCTGTCTAGTCAGCCAAATGATAGAAATAACCATCGAGCCTGCGTTAGTCAAACTATGACAGAAAAACCTGATCCACCTTCGAAGTTCCGAAATTGTTTCCCCTTAACTACTGTAACTTTTACCTCTATCAGGCGGTCATGGTCGTCCTTTAATAAGTCCCGACGGCCTGTCTGTATTGTTCTCCACCTGTATGGTCAATTAAACCGTAACCACCCTCATAAAACTAAGAATAGTCTTTGAGATAAGATAAAATCCATCTTTATCTGCCAAAATCAATTTAAGTAGTATTTCGAGCGAGTCTTTGCAAACTATGTGGTCAATTACAGCAAAACAATATTCCTATTCTGTGGAACTTGGGTGAGGCTGTCAATCGGGTGACTGATTCGACTTTATATTAAATGACAGCTGACTGGCTTTGCCTGACATAGTGCTCTCTACAAATTCCAAAATTTGACCGAAGAAATTCAAGAAAAATTTTATCCAATTCAGAGGAATAACTACCAAAAATCCTATCAAAGAGCCATGTAAGTAAAAAACGGGTTGTGTTTGTGGCCGACTTATGGCCTCAAAACAGTCAGCGGGTTTTACTTTAATTTTTCTTCCTATTTATATTTTTTGTTGTTGTTGTTTTCGGAACAATCGGACCAGTATAAACGACTTCAAAGTATTTTTAAGACGAGAAAACTAAAAACTTCAAGCTGAAATGTCAGAAACATAGATTATATTTTTCACACAGAAATCGACAAAGGTGACAGTTCATATGACAAAATATCTATCCTAGAAGGAGAGACGCCATGTAACACGGAGTCATATCAGGAACAGTGATTATAGTACCTTGAAAAATTGTAAGTCTCACAAACCTTTTGTCCACAAGGATGTTGACTTAAAAATACCTTAAAGAAGTTTATAAGCAGCCTTCACCGCTAAAACAAAGAGGGCATCCAGTTAGTACTATAATGAAACACGTGGCAGGAGTGAAATTGTCCGATATAACGACATCATTAAAAAAAATGGACTAAACTGCGGAACGTAAGTTACCTTGGTTATAAAATTCACCTATCATTAGGTAACTTTCCCAAAGTTTCGACAAAACCAACGCTTACCTTACTGGTTGCGATTGGGCCTCAACTTGAACAGATAGTGGTGGCAGAGCGCTTTCTTTACTGGATTTGCTGTCCCTTCTCTTCCTTAAAGATGATTCTTAACTGTCTTGATTGTTTGCATATCAAAATAAAACGCATTTATTCGAGTTTGTCGCAAACAAAGTTGCAATTTTACAGCGCTTAGTTTACGGTACCATGAAAAAATGTCTTCACTCATTGTGTATTCAAGGAAATTTCAACCGAGAAATAGACGCATGTTAAGAACTAAAATCTGAATACCCATATCATGAGAAAGATCACGTTGTAATCTTTTGCTCGGAGACAAGCCTTATTTCTTTGCCATAGGAGTGATTTAGATAAATTATTTTGAAAAATTGATGGCAATCATTTTAAACCAAAATGTCTCTTTCCCCCGTCACGTTTTCTGGGTGAACAATAAGACACCTAAAACGAATTATTATTATTTATTTATTCATTCAAAAAATTATTATTTTACTCACCTGCCTATGATCCAGAGGCACCTTCATTCTGGGCAACACCGGAGAAAATCTAAAAACTTTTCCGACGTAAGACCGCAACAACTGCGGAAACATCGCAGTTTTTTTATTATCCCGGATATCTCACCTATGATGACGTCACATAGAAGTCTCTTCTCATTGAGGCAAGTCATTCACGCATAGTTCGACCTTGGTCCATCTGGCGAAAGAGGACAAAGCACATGATTCTTTTTGTCTACGCCGGGCTCTCTCTCTCCCTCTTGTGAGAAAGACTAACTGTTTGCATAGTGAAATTGAGGTTGTCGCAGTTGCTCCTCTGACGCCACCTTTCACTTCCCCATTAAAATATCAGATTTTAAGTTTCTTATCCAAATTCACTTTTTTTTTCGAAGAAGGTTTTCAGAGAAATTCGACGATTATAACAAAGCTTCTGATAATTCAACTTGTGAATAGTATTGAAGGATGCTCGGTCTTTTCACAGGCTTCAATCAAATCAACCTTAGAAGTTCAAATTTGGATAAGGATTGTATAATATCTGGCCGACAGCGCCGAAAGAGGGCAAAGTACACAAAAAATCAACTTCTAAAGCTGGAATTAGAATTTGAGAGGAACCCGTACCCTAATTCATGGGAACGCGAAACTTTGGCTCAGCAGCTTGGAATCCACGAGACAAGAATCCAGGTAAAAACTGAAGGAAAATCCTGTCAGGAATCAGGCGTAACAACGCTATGTTGGGAAGTAAATTCTGATTGGTTAATCTCGCGCTCTAATAAACTCTCAGGTCTCGGATATACATCTGGGCTATATCCAGGCTTCTGAAATCAATGAAATACTTTTTAGAGAAAGAGGTTGTTTAGTTAGATATAGATTAAAAAGAGTCAACTGGGATGTGACAGGGTTTGAACGATTGTTTCAGTTAAGAAAAGAAAAACAAAGGACAATTCTGTTTAAATGTTCACTCTTTCAACGAGGTAGGACTGTCATTACTTACCTAATAAGACATTTAAACATATTTGTCATCCTCCAGGTATGGTTCTCAAATCGCCGAGCGAAGGGAAGAAGAGAACGTTTTGGTGATGAGGGTAGTCAAAGGCAATCCATTTCAGCCCCAGTTTGCACATGTCACACATACCGCCAGCCGCTTCGCGCCCCGTGGGTGATGGAGACCAGTTTTCCAACATTTTTCTTTCCACCACCTGGATACTGGACCTAGTCAAAAACCATTGGTGCTCTTTTTAAGTCTTGGACTGCGAGCTTTTATTTATACAACGGGGAGCCGCGTTCCCATACCTCAAAAAAAAAAAATAGGATTTGCGATGCCAGGATAGAATGTCTCTATACATGCATAGATTTGTCGATTAAGCAGTAATCGAGGTTATGCGGTTTTAATTTTCAGGGGCGTGGTAAGCGAGCAAGCGCTCAAGGGATAACCTAGTTTGCTTTCAATTCAATCTGCACATCAGAAATAAAAAGGCTCATCAAATTTTTTTTTGTTATCCATATTTCCTTGGACATCATGAGCTTTGTACACTAAATTGCAGAGACGGCTTCAAGGTCAGGTGCAAGCAAGAGCCATGAAGTGACCGTTGTATCGGCCATTCCTAAGTCCGTTTTTATATGCTTCAAACACCTCACACGATATTTACTAAATTTTTCCAAAACTTCTAAATGTTCTGAATTGTAATAAGAAGTAAAGAACAACAGAAACAAAAGCAGGTTTAGACTCAAAATCCCGAAAAATATTCTAAAAATCTCTCCAAAACATCCTGAATATTGATCCCAGAAAATCTTCTAATATCTTGGATTTTTCCAAGCGAATTCTCAGCCTCTCCCACATTCCCTAGAAAAGAAAATTGCATGCAGATTTTGCACACTATTTAGTACTTTAATCACACATGAGGTACTGATCAGATTTGTTTATTATAACAAATCGTGCCTCTTTGTTACACTTAGGCGGAGAATCAGACCAGTATGGTATTTTGACTCGACTGCCACGCGCCAGTATAAGAAGTTAGTTATGCCTTCGAAACATACCAAAAATGTACGATTAGGTGATCATACCGTGTCCAAATTCAGCCAAAAATCCGGTGATATTTTGAAAAGTTACGATAGTGAAATCTACCATGCGTCCTTCCGTCAATAACGAGAAATGTAACAAATTATGGTAACAAAACATGAGTAAAATCCCTTTCTGCAAAACATGATGACGATTGAAAATGAGAAAATTACAATGTATACCTTAGTTTAAATATTACATTTTATGGAAACGAATATATAAGCTGAAAAAATTCAAATGTCCCATGGAACTCTTTGCAGCTTTAAAAACGTTCAGTTAAAGATACCAGAGGTTAAGTTGCTATTAATGGTGCATTCTCAAAAAAGACTAACTGCAGTAGAATTTAAAGAATTATGCAAATCTTTTGAGTTTAACACAACTGAGAGGATCGCCTGAATTTGGAGTCAAGGCTGGCTCTTGCCTATTCGAACACATTTACCTCCTTATCATTATTGAAATTGTCCTCTGTCTTTATTCAGGGGTTGAGGCGTAAGTGTGGAAGGTTGGAACACCGGGATATCCATTATCTGACCGTTCGAAGTTGTTTGAAAAAAAATTTTGGTTGTTGCTTTTGAATGTTGGCATCTTTCCCTCTGATCCTCTGTGCCCTTAGTTCCTGTGGTCACCTGTATTCACTGTTCCTCTGTTTCTCTGTAGCCACTTTTCCTCTGATCCTCTATGCCCTTTGTTCCTCTGGTCCTCTGTGGTCACTATTTTTCTGGTCTACTGTACCCATTGTTCCTCTGGTCCTCTGTGGTCACTATTTTTCTGGTCTACTGTACCCACTGTTCCTCTGGTCCTCTGTGCCAATGTTCCTTTAGTCCTCTGTATCCACTGTTCCACTGTTCCACTGTTCCACTGTTCCACTGTTCCACTGTTCCACTGTTCCACTGTTCCACTGTTCCACTGTTCCACTGTTCCACTGTTCCACTGTTCCACTGTTCCACTGTTCCACTGTTCCACTGTTCCACTGTTCCACTGTTCCACTGTTCCACTGTTCCACTGTTCCACTGTTCCACTGTTCCACTGTTCCACTGTTCCACTGTTCCACTGTTCCACTGTTCCACTGTTCCACTGTTCCACTGTTCCACTGTTCCACTGTTCCACTGTTCCACTGTTCCACTGTTCCACTGTTCCACTGTTCCTTTGGTCTCTCTGTCCACTATTCCTCCAGTGTTCTGTACCCACTGTTTCTCTGGTCTTATGTGCCCACTGTTCCTCTCCTTCTTTGTACTTCCTTTGGTCCTTTATCCCTCACTCCTCTGCCAACAGTATACCTTTAAATATAAATTAATCAGATCCTGTATACAATACACTGTCCCCGCAGTGCGACACAAACTTGCAGGTCAGCAGGAACTGCTTACGAACAATGGATAAGATTTTAGCCTCATAAAATCTAAGACCCTCTAAATTCAATAATATCTTCCCGAAGAAAGTGACGATGTTTCAGGATTTAATTTTCATGTAAGAGTAGTTTTGAATGTTAAAGAAACAATCGTTCACACCGTTAGACGGACATCAACATGGCTGTTATTCTGCATAATCTCAACAGATCTCTCAACAAGTCAGGAAATCGAATTTGACCCCAATTGTTCAACGAATGAGGCTTTTTTAAATTCTTTTGTGTTTCCCAGAGATGTATCTTTATAGACTGAGAGACTAAAGTTGCTTTGGTGAATATCACCAACCTATTAAGAATAAGGTCGAATGGATGTAATAAAGGGGTGGGAAGGGGCGTGATGACTGACATTATATATTAGGCAAACTTTTACGTTCACGAATCAATAACTGTTCCACTGTAAAATGGTGTTCACACCATGATTACATTGTCAATTCTAATGTTCGAGTTTCCGAAAGCCGTGGGGTTTTTTTGCCAATTATTTTCTGTTAGTGATGTTGAATTTTCCGCCAGTGACCGGCATGACCGACATGCTGCAAAAACTCGTAATACAAATTATCATCGAAAAGGTCATAAGTTTCAAAGCTGTGTATCTTAGAAGCTACGCTTTCCCCGCCTAAGTTTCACTGATACTTCGTTATCATCAGGAAGATATTTTTTTTCAGCATTTTAAGAGCTTATTTTGAGTAAGCTAATAACATTTGTCTTCAATTTTAAATCCCTATCTGCGGCTAAAGACGTCTTCACTCAACCAGAGTTGTTGGTTTATAAAAATGCGAGTTCAGGCTTAAAGTTCTTGGTAAATACTATCGACGAAGTGTAAGGGCTTGTAGAGGAAGGCGAGTTGACTGATCAACTGCAAAAGCTTAAAGCACCAGTTAATTTAATTTCAATTATTGTTGTTTCGCTCCAGCTGCTTTTCAAGTATCATGATCTTTACGTTATCCGGATTTCCGCTCCGTTGTTACATGTTACGCGAATCAGTCAACTAAATATATCCAAAAGATAAACTTTAGATCTACTTTATTTTGAAAGCCTGAAAATATGAGAGAAGTTAGAAATAATTTAAAATATGGTAAGTGTATGAAGATAGAGGTTACATGTCGCGTGGTGTGACACTTAAGATCCACACAATGATTTGAAACGACAGATTGTATGATGCATACTTCATACTTTATTACGTTTTTACGTTTATTCTTACCTTCATGTCATATGATCTTATCAATAAATTGTTATATTAACGTTAGTAACGATAGAAATCTCATTATTGGTTTAGTTAGGTGAAAGAAAGCACTCAAAGATTATTGCGAAAGAGAGACCATTTGGACCCGTGCATGAGTTATTCCTGCAAGGCAGATAACACGTTCCGACGACACGAGAAATTGACAGCACGTGGACACACAAAAACATGTCACAAGTACCAGAGACTACGCCTATAGCAAAGGTCGTCACGCGAGAACTAAATTGGTCGACGATAACGCATAGAAGTACGTCATCAAAGGTCATTTAATAGAAGTCTGCTGTCGCAAATCTAATTGATAAGTTCGCGGACGTGATCTTAAATAGTCTCTTAGGGCTATGTTTAGAAACAAGGCTCTTAAAATAGAATGATTCTTTGACGTCAATGCGGAATCCACCTAGACACGATATGTTATATTAGCGGACCACAGTCGCCGTTTAAAGATAAACCAAAACAAACTAATGTACGCGTGAGACACATCTAAAATTATTGAAAGGAGAAGATGAGCGAACTATTCAAATCAGGTATTAAGTATGCTACAATTGTGCACCTTTTTGTTGAGAACGTGACAAATTAAGAGGTTTTTCGGAAGCTTTAAAGGCGGTCTGAGTTTCGATATTCTGTCCCCGTACTACTTCATATCGTAATTATTGCGTAAAATCTCTGCAAATATACAAACCAACCAAGTGCGCAAAATCTTTCATTTTTTTTCCTCTTAATGATAAGTTTTATCTTCTTCCAAGGTAAACTAAACCAATTAGGTGGAGTGTTTGTGAACGGCAAGCCACTTCCAAACTCTGTTCGCCAACGAATTATCGAGATGGCTGAGCTCGGCATTCGCCCATGCGATATCAGTCGCCAACTGAAAGTTTCACATGGCTGCATCAGCAAGCTACTTGCTAAGTACAACGATACTGGGTCATTTGAGCCCGGGCGCGCTAAAAGAAAGACATCGAGAGATGTGAGCACCGAAGTGAGGAACAAAATTGAAGAATATCGCCGCGCAGCGCCAGGAATCTTCTCTTGGGAAGTTAAAGAAAAGTTGGTAGCCGATGGTTTGTGTACGAAAGAAACGTTGCCGCCTCTTACCGTGATTAGCAGGTTGCTACGACGCGTGAGATCCACGGGCAGTGACACTGAGATATCACCTGTTGCTGCCAAGGATGTGGAAATGGACTGCTCCAAAGAAAACGAACACCGGAAGAACTTTACTGTTTTTTCAATAGACAATATCCTCATGGAAAAAGAGAAATGGGAAACACACGAAGAAAAGGTAGACACTGGAGAGATGATTACTACCAAAGTGATTGAACTTGGTAAGCAATATCATTCATCAGTTCAATACTTATTGCGATAAAAGTAGATATTTGTCTTCTGTCAAAGTAGTTGACCTTAGTAAGTAAAATTATTCATCAATTTAATACTTATTGCGATAGAAGTAGATATTTGCCTTCTGGAATCCTACATCACTTAAAGAGAATCTTGAACTTAAGGAAACATCCACTTGTTTTATGTTTTCTAGGATGCACTGTCACCGATTCGGTTCTAAATGACTTACCAAGTCCAGCAAGCAATAACTGCAACAACAACGGCCATAATGCAGTAAGGTTGTATCAGCGGAGAAACAGAACCAAGTTTACGTCTGACCAAATTGAAGAGCTCACAAAAGCTTTTGAGAAAACTCGCTATCCAGATGCTCTAACACGAGAGGAACTTGCCGAGAGACTTCGTATAAGTGAATCCAAGATTCAGGTGAGAAACCTTGCTTATTGAATCAATTTTAACTATATGATACAAGGTTTGCAAGACCAGATAACCACTTTTTATCGGTTCCTTAAAACATATAATCTCACAGACTTCACCGGACCATTCAACTGTAACACTATACTGAAAAAAGGAATTTTTGGCAAAGACACTACCATTAAATTAAAGGAGAGGTGGGGGGGGGGGGGGGAAGGATGGCCGGAAAAATTGTCGCTGTATGAGATGTAATCTGAAAGCAAAATATTTATTACAGTTGTTTTTCTATTTTTTTATAGGTTTGGTTTTCGAACCATCGCTCCAAATCTAAAATAAAAAAATCTCATAGGGCAGAAGTTGAGATGGACGTAAATGCAGTACCAACGACCAAGACGGGTATTTTCTATCCATCATATCCTGTGGTACCTGTGATACGTTACGGGCCGTATATTCAGGCGACTCGTGTTTGTCCCTACATTTGTTACAAGCCACTTCAAATGGCTTCGCGCTAGCTAAAAATTTTAATGTTTATTTTTGTAATTTTTCATCGAACTTACCATATTGCATGGAACAATACTGGTCGGAACTCGTATCATTTATTTGACAGTTTGTCACCTCATACAGAGTCTGTTCGTCTGATGAATTTTGTTAACCTGTATTAAACAGAATTCACACTTGTTTTACGTTTGCACTTTTTACTTCATAGTTGTATACCTTATCTACCTAATGTCTTTTTGAAAATAATAAACTTTTCAACGTTTGATCTCAAATTTTACAGTACCAAATTGTCAATAAAGTTCACGGTTTAGTAATTTATTCATTTTGAATAAATATTATAAATACATTCATTTAGGTTATTGCCCACCATACTCATTGATCCCCATTTTCTATGTCCGTTTGAAACTACATTACAAGCATTCTCAAGGATGACAGCGTGCTGGTTAGGTTCGCTATCGAAAGCCATATACATAATCTATTTTTCGAGCCTTAGGGAAACGATTACAGCTCCTATTTCTTAATAAATCAATCGTAAATATATCAACCACACTAACGAATGAAACGCGCCAGTTTCAGCCGAAAATAGGTTTGCTTCTTGAGGTTTCCTATCGGGAATGTGCCAAAATGCAGACTTTCCAGGACTCCTTTCAATTTGGTTCAACTTGAGGTTCCTTTAACCCTAGAATAGAGTTTTAACCAATTTTATCTTGGAGAGGATATGCTTTCTTCATTATCGTAGTCGATAAGATGTATTTTTCAAACAATAATTTTCTGGTCTTGTAATTTTCTGAGACTACTGGATTTGGTAAGGTCTGTACTGAGGTAGATGAAATCGGTTGGATACAACGTCAGGATTACACACTCTCATCAACGGTTTTTACACACTTACAGTGGTTGGAAATCTCTGTATCATCATCTCATTCCTTTTTTTTTTCATGATTCAGAACAGGTATATATTAAAAATGCATATGGTTTTTACGCTTATTTCTTTAGAAAGGCTTCATTGTACTAAACATTTCACTTTTGACTCCTTCTGTTGTGCTTGGGAAACCGTTCATTTTCTCGGATGGTAAAATCAAAAATAAAAATGCATAAGTACCTTGTAACACCAGCCATCACTCGTCACTGTTGTACTCTTACGGCTGAGGCCGATATTTTCTTCTTATATTTGCCATGTGCCGCACGACTATTCTATGTTCTCTCCGCAACGAAAATTTGATCGCCAGAATAGCGAGTCCTGAAATTTGGTCGAGTCACTACTAGCGCTATTCACTTCCCCATACTAAAGAAACTAATAAAAGAGCAAACGTTTACCGTTTCACCGATCTTATTGAAACAAACGTCAGTTGCACTAATCATTGCTCAAGACGCACTCTTGAACGATTAAAAAAGCCGTTTGTATCTATACTCAGTATTTCGATCATTGCTCTACACAACTTTATCCGAATGACGGGTAAGCCTGGGATCGCTGATCTGAGATTTTCTTTTCTACCTCATTTTAATGACCACCACAGACTTTTGCAATCGCTTTGTTTTCGTTAAGGGTACAATAAGAAGATTTAGGCAACGTTCATACAACAGTTGTTTTTTAAACTAGGTATATCTAAAAACATTTGCAAATTAACGCCCAGCCGTCACGTTCAGCTGTCTAATGATGTTCTGAAAATACTCCACGTCACCGGTAAACAAATGTAGTCGTCACGAATAAAAAGAAATAAGAGAGGAATATACCTGAATAAAATGTAAACGGGCTTGTTAGACTGCAAAGTAAGCGGTCACTGGTAGACGTTGCTTTTGCGTTTCATTCTTGTGCAATAATTTTACCCAACCTTAGGTTTTAAGGTGAAGTGGTTGTACCACTGTCTATTGGGTTGTAGGGACTACAAGTTCCTAGAAGCATCAAGACAGTTCTGGGTCACATGGGTTTGTGGAGTATCCAATGAACCCATGTAAGCCAAATGAAGACAAACTTTTCTGTTATTAAGTAAGTTCCGCCTGAAGAACAGAGTTAAATTTGTACGCCCTCCAACATTGTCATCAACATTGATGACAATGGCAACTTAAACCTCGGCTAATAATTGTCTGTGGAGCTCTTAAACAACGTTAACAACAATGTTTCATTTCAGTGACAAAGATAATAATATCGTTGTCAACACATTTCGCAATCGATTCAACCACCTTCAACTTCCTGAGGAATATATCATGCTATACGGTATTGTTTACAAACTTGCACCTGTACCATTCTCGCGTTAATTTTTAAAGGTAAACTTAAAATTCGAAGAAAAAATTTACGAGACTAACTATTTCGGATGTTTAAAGGATTATAAAACTATTTCTTGGTTTAATTAATTTAGTGAATAGAGCAGATCTGGCGTAGAATCGGCAGAATGAGGGGGCGTTTAAGAAACTTAACAAGTAACAGGAAGTCATACTTCACGCTACGCGCTGGAGCCTATTGTGAATAATATTGCGAAATATGTAGATCAGACTTCCTGGGTTCATCAATTTTTCATCTTAAACATCAAGCGTCCGCATATCATTAGGGGTTCTGCGTAAGGAAAATATTCTTTTCTCTAACAAGATTTCGCGTAAACTTGAAATTGGATATAAAACTTAGAGGAACGATATGATATTTTGAGAAACCGTCCCCACATTTTTTACATAGTTCCTCTGACATACCGTCACTTGGAAGTCGTGATTTCCGCTGACAGTGACCTTGAGAGAACATGTATACTTTTCTTTTCCTTCCGACCGCGGGGTCATGTTTTATAACCACATTCAATAATTAGATTCGTTGAGCCCGCAATTTCTGCAATTATTTCAGAACGAATCTCCCTCCCTCTAAAAACGAAAAAAGAAAAAAAAAAAGCAAATGTCGCGTGTTTTGTCTGTTCTGATTTTCTTTCATGTTTCGTAAACTCTACTGACTGCCACGATCGCTTTCCTATCACCGGAAGCCGACCTCAGTGAGTTCGCGTGACTTTGAAACTCTCGAGAGAGATAAAATTTGCATTTGCAGCCTAGTTTGTATTGCCCCTTAGGGCGTTCCATTGAACGTCACGCTAACTCAATCGCACGTGAACAGCAAATGGTTTACAATTACAGGATAATACAAAGTGCAACAGACTATCCCGTCAAAACAAAATAATTATCACTCTGTAATATGCGAGGCGGTCGAGCTCGTGCCACGCTGTAATGCGCACGGGACAATGGCTATACTAGACTTAAGCGTATTTTCCTTCCAGTCTGGAAAGCATTAAGAGAGGTTTTCCTTTATCACCTGGGATGTAAATAATGTTCTCTTCGAGAAAGGGACCTTGTGGTTCGTCGATGAAATACAACTTCTACGTCACTAAATTTTCAATTCAAAGTAGTTCAGATATCATAGAATCGACATATCCGTTTCATATTCCTAAACTGCCGGTCTAGAACGATTCCATGCATTCCATGAGCTTGACAAATAATGATCCCTTGTTATCATCTTTGGTGTTCGTCCTCTGCCATGGCAAAAATTGCTATTCACATTTTAACTTCTTAAAACGTTTTTTTTTTTTTTTTTAATTTCCCCACAGCTTAACTGCGCAAGTACCTTAACGCCCACGTTCAACTCTCTTGAAATACATTCGTAACGAAAACTAATAAATTTCTAGTTTATGCAGTAGGATCAGAAATGAGATCCGTCGTCAGAACTGTGGTAAATTACATTTCACTGATGTTAAAGAACTATAAAATACATTTTCACTTCACAGTTAAAAACCTTCGCTTCTCTTAGCTACAGCGAGACAGCATACGCAAATGAAAATTTATCTTGTTATATTATAGGTAGGTATTTTTTGATTTCGTAGATTTAAATAATACAAAGATGCATGTTGCGGCTTCGAAATTCACAGCGGAAGTAGAGGCCAAGTGTAAACAGCCCGTACAGACGATTTATTCACGATCACGTAGTAGGAAAGCAGTACTTGTCTTTGTTTTGACCACTGACGTCAAACGCTCTCCCCGCCCACACTGTATCTTATAACTTACTAAGCTTCAGTCACACACTAGGTAATCGGACTCAAAGCGCCGCATCTTGGCAAGTTAAACGGGCAGAAAAGCCAAAAACACCCCTTCGTCTTTGTTTTAGGAGCAGAATTTGCCATTTTCAACCAAGCAGAGGATTATGGAATACAAGGATATAACCTCCACAGCAGGCATGTTTAATTCTGTTTATGTTAAGCTTCACTTCTATCAGTAACGATTAACCACGTATACCGGGCGTCCTAAAAGCCCGTTACGAATGGTAACTTGGCCTTCGGTGTACTCAGCCAAACACATGAATTTTTCTTAATCGAAAGCATGGTCAAGAATCGATTAACCAAATGGCCGGTAGCTATGTAAAGTCCGTACAGTTACATAGATATGGTGAATTTAGGTATAACGGAATAACTTACGCATGGAGATAATGATAATGATTATAAAAACAAAACAGGAAAAGGAAAAAGTCGCATTTGTTTGAAATGCTGCTATAAAATTTGCCTTTATCTAAGCTTCTAAGGACCAGCCATACTCAATACGTTCACAGTTAGCCAATGGACATTATTTAAACGAAGGAAATGAACATATCCTTTCTGATTGCCATGCCTCGTGTCTCGCAAAAGAGGAACGCGAACACTCGTCTTAGCAATTGTTACAATTTTTTCACATGTAGCCAACCCCTCGAATAAATACACTCATTTATACGACCACTTAGCTCCAGCCCTGCTCAGCTTGGAGAAACGAATATAAGTCGAGGATATAGTTTACGACAAAAACGCATCACTTGTTAGACTTTATCGAGACACCAAACAACTGCAAGTCGTCAGGCATCCTAGCGGAACTATCGATTTCTTAACCATTTTTTTAATGTTACTTTAGGTCATGGAAAGTTCAACCAGCTCGGTGGAGTTTTTGTAAATGGAAAACCACTTCCAAACTCTGTTCGTCAAAGAATTATCGAGATGGCTGAGCTCGGCATCCGCCCATGCGATATCAGTCGCCAACTGAAAGTTTCTCATGGCTGCATCAGCAAGCTACTTTCTAAATACAACGATACTGGGTCTTTTGAGCCCGGGCGCGCACAGAGAAAGACATCGAGAGATGTGAGCACCGAAGTAAAGAACAAAATTGAGGAATATCGCCGTGCAGCACCAGGAATCTTCTCTTGGGAAGTTAAAGAAAAGCTGGTTGCCGACGGTTTGTGTACAAAAGAAACTCTACCACCACTGACAGTTATTAGCAGAATGTTGAGAAGGGTAAAGTCAACTGGAAGCGACTATATGGACAAGTCTGAAGCAGAAAACAGTGATGTAGAAAGTGAGGGCGACACTTCAAGCAACGACAATGGTAGTTCAGGAGAAGCTAAACCTAGGCCGAAGAGAAGATCTTTCTCTATTGCCAACATTTTGAGTATCAACGAGGAGACAAGAACTGTCAGCTTGCCCAGCTCTTCATCGCCATCTCCTTCGCAAGAAAAGCCTGGTAAGAGAGTGCTTGATAAAAGTAGGCCACGAGACACCATTGTATGTTGGGAGGTATTTGATGATAGAAAGTATTTATTTCGTTTGCATGGGGCTTACTTCTCGTTCTCCCTAACACCTAATTACAAAGTTAGCCTCACTAAAACCTACCAAGAAGAAACATTATCCTAAAGAGTTGTAAAGGACATTCTTATAATTCTTATCCCTTTTGGATTTGGTGAACTAAACCCCAGAGTGATTTTCCTGAAATCCTTTTTAGAAATCGATGTCTCAAGGAACCTACTGAACATAATAATTTACATCAATGGCTTTTAGTTTTGGTTAAGTATCCGCTGAAGATAATGTGGCGAGATCTTCCCTTTTGAAATAAAAGCACTTGTCAGGACTTCTAAACATAATGAACGTTATTGATCACAACAATGACATTTTGTGACTAAAATTCATTTCTAAAAGAAAGTTTGGTATAATTCTAGTAATGCAGTTGCCAGGCTTGATTTGTAACAGGTGTTTGCAATTGTTTACAGAACCAACTTCCTCGTCACCTACAACAGTAAGTGCCGTTGACATTGCTTCCATCACAAGTGGAATGCAAAAGCTAAGGCACTACAGGCGACGTAATCGTACCAAATTTACTCCTCATCAAATAAGAGAATTGGAGAAAGCCTTTGAGAAAACGCAGTACCCGGATGTCCTTACTCGTGAAGAACTTGGGGAAAGATTGGACATTAGTGAATCACGGATTCAGGTTCTTTTTTCCTTTGCCTATACTACTCCTTAGAACATTAGTCCAGTCCTACGCAAGTTTGAGTAACAATTCTCGACTTAACGAAAAGACCAAAGAAATTGTCCATGCTCATATTAAAAAAGACTGAACAACGAATAAGGAGTTTAAAAGGCAAACATTGCATGATTATAACCAGCGAACGTACTACTTGGGAACTTCACTTGTATTAAGTCCCTCACGAGCACAATCGAAGTTCATTTGGCTTTTCGTTTCATTAAAATGAAATTTTTACAGGCATAAAGAACATGTTAAATTATGAAGGGTTCATTTTCTATCGTTCTTGCAAGATCTTGTTAGAGATATTAGGGTAAGGAAGATCTAGGTCCATACAGTTCCTATTTGGTATATCAGTCTTGGCGTTTATTTCAGGCATAAATTATTGGAATAACCGATAGCTACAAACCTGAGATATTCTGAGTTTGGGTCTTAAGTTAATCTCGATTTTAGGATAAGTCACACTGTGCACCAAAATTGATCAAGTTGTTACAAGAACCTTACTCTGCTACCAATCATAACTGGTGAATCATACTTTATCTTTCTTTATGCCTCCTTAGGTTTGGTTTTCCAACCGCAGATCCAAAGGAAAAAGGACAAACCCTAAGACGGACGACACGAACAGTGACCAAGACAAAGCAGAATCCGATGACTCCAGTAATAGAAGTCGAATATTTTACCCTTCGTATACGCCTGTCCCCGTCATCCGCTACGCTCCTTACCATCCAGCTTATGCGTATCTATGCTTTCGACCAGGCTACGAGAGTAGCTAACCGAACTCGAAAGATGTCAGTTTGCGCATCTCTTTCATGTAAATAAGTCGCAAATAAGCACAAGTGGTGCAACTGTGCAATTGTAATAGATAAAAACTGAACGAATTTTCGTCATCATCCATGAATTTACTGAATTATTTTTCTTTTTGTTGTTCTTTATCACTCTTAATCCAGCGAGTGTATTTCTTCGCATTCCCTTACACTTCAAGGTTCGGTTCGATTAACTTGTGAATTAATTGAATGATTAATTAATAAGTTCTGCTGAAGAGAAGAAAATCTATCTGGTAGGGATAACCGCATAAATGACTTGCAACTAAAGAAGTATCTCATTGATGTGTCAAATTTTGAGATTTGGTAGAATGTAGCTGAAAGCAATAAATAAAGTCGAAGCAACTAACTACCTCGAGGGAACGCATCATTGATTCAAATCTAGCAAATATGTTTCTTTCACGTAAATAGAACTTTGGTGGATAAAGCCTTTATCTCGTGGTGAAAATTTAATGGTAATGTCGACTTATTCGAGACAATTATTTCAAAAAGACTCTGATGGCGTTGTTGACATATTCTTGTCATATTTTAGAAGAAACCCGTCAGAGACGGCTTTGAGTAGAAGTGATCTTCTCCAACCTTTAAGCATTTATATACGTTTTCCATCGTTTCTGTTTTCCAAATATACCCTAATAAATTGATAATTTACTTTAATCCTCCGAATATCTTTTCGAATATCTTTTCTTTTATAGGCTTGACTTTCTTTTGTGAGAAAAGCTGTGCATACGTGTTGTTCACTAACGCAATTGCGCAAAAAACCTCTAAAATTTGGATAACGGCTTGAACCCTACGCATCGGTACTTTAAAGAAAGCCATTTCCGTCGTTCTGCTGTAACCTACGAACGTTCTTATTCGGTTCGGGACGACTCGCTAACAATGACGATCTTACAACGACCCTAATGACGTTTAGGCAATGAATGTTAATTTTGTAATGTCTTACGCACGTCACGCGATTTGCGTAAGCACAACAATGAATGTATTTATATCCACGAAGTATCGGATGAGTCCGTGCTAAACCGTCATAAGACTTGGGTCAAAGCCAATAATAATCTGTGGTCAGCATGCAAATAGCGACGAACACGTTTACGTTCTAAAGATATAACACGATTTGTCAATTGTTGTGCTCATATTTCAGTTTTGGCACTTCCATTTCTCATGTTCTAAAAGTCACGCGATAAGATCATTTCCGGCTAGACGACACGCGCACGAGTATTCCTACCTGATGTAACGCAACGCGAAATATTACTAAGTTGTAAAAGGTCGACAAGAAGTGCGCTGGGACGCCTGTTCAACGGCATCATTCTCATATTCATGAAATACTTAAAATTTCAAAGAAATTTACATGCTTTTTGTAAGTAAAAAAATATATAGCTTTCACGACTGAACCTTTTTTTTTTAAAAAGGTAATAAACACTTTGTTCATTCGAGCATTTGTTGTCTATCATATTTAACGCCCACACAATTGAAAAATTGTCCATGGTGTCATCTAATTACGCTTCCGAGTGACTATGTAAAACTGACTCCACTAGTTTGAAATCATCTTTTGAGCATTCAGAGCATGTTGTCTTTGTCTGCTCCTAAGATGCTGCTGGCTGAAACTGCGTCTCAGGCCTCGCCGATTATACGACCTTGTTTCTGTTTACTCAGAGAGCGGGTCGGGAAATAGTTTTTTCTGGTTGGGCTACAACGTTGTTTGGCCTACCAATAGTTGCGTTCCCCTGAGCCGAGACACTTTTCTCAGCGTCTTTTTTGTTAGCATCGTAACCAACTAAATTCAATGCTCAAGTTGAAAAGGCAAAATTTCCAGTTATCGCGATGGAATTGCAATGAAAATTGTACCGTAAGCTTACTTCACACTCTCCCTTGATGCCTGTGACGAAAACGTAATAATTATCTTCAAAAGTGACCGGAGGCTGTCCATAATTAAGCATTATCCACCATAAGGCAAAGTCGGTATTGTTAAATAGTTCCCAAAACGAAGTCGAAGAGATCATTCAGCAATAATTTGAGCCTGAGGTGAATAATTGGTTCATGAAATTGTTCAGGTGATTGCTTATCAGAGCAAAAACATACATTTTGTTTCATTTCTTTGATTCTAACTTGTCACGTATCTTTGAGCAGGGGCATGGGGTCTAACGCTTACACACATAATCAATCTAAAAACTGCACATGACTGAAGCAAAAACTGAATAAAACAAGAAAAAATTCTCTCTTGGTTATGAGTAAGTTCATTCGAAGCAAAGAGTAAGACATAATCTAATAATTTTGGAATTACAGGAATAATAATTGCTCTAGTATTCAAACCTGGGGGAAAAAAAGGTTTCCTGGTGTCTTCCCAACAGCAATCTTTAATCTTTTGAGGTAGATGGTGCTGCAGGAAGAGTCGTGGATGTTAATGGAAATAAATGAGATGCTTGGAAGTTTGTTTGCCGTTGAAGAAAGATATGAGGGCTGATGTCATTTGTTGGATTGATTAGGCGTTGGTATCTTACAGTAGCTCTCTATACTTTCTATCGCTTTTGTGCCCCGTGACGGCCTTGATTTTGCGCGTTTCTATATTATTTCCGGACAAGACTGCGACTGTTGCCGCTTTCAAGGAACGGTTTGCAGAAACGGGAGAGTTCCTGCTTTTTCTGTCACCTTTCTCTGCATATTTTGCAAGTTATTATACCCGAGTTGTCGTTTTTCGCACTAGATGTCGGTTGTGGAATTGAACTTCTCAGAGCTGAAATCTTTCGGCCATTGGAGGAACACCTCTGAGTTTGAATTTGGTTCCTTGAATATAGGTTCTGGGTTTCAAATGGGCATCTCCTTCAAATGGCTAGAGAAAAGATTTTGCCTGCCGAGTGATCTCTTAACTCACCTTCGTCATGCAATTTCTTGATGGTTTCAGTAGTTAGTGGATAATTTATGAACAGTGCAAGCTACTTTTCCCTCGGAGGCAAGTTGCTTCAGGTGGGAATTGAGTGTTTTATTGAAGTCGCTAAATAAGTAGTTATCGAACATTTTGTTTTGTGCAGTGGTCACTTAACATGACGTTCTAAAGCCGCTCGCGCCGACAAGTTAGTTTTCTTGTAGAAACTGTCGTCTTTTGTCATCACGGAGACGTTTACTTCCATACTCTCCAATTCTGTTGAAAATTCGTTTCGTTGCTTAGACCATTCTGTAGATAAATAATGCACGGCGAATATTTTGTTACAATTGTTTTGATAACTCTTATCGGAAGCAATCAGTTTCCACTAGAACTTAACAGGTTTATCTAATTTTATATAAAAGCAACTCTTCTTAACCTATACCAAGCTAAGTAGTGCCTCTTCCGCCCTTTGAAACTGAATTTTCTTTAATCGTGTATATTTCTTCTTCGGTATCATTTACAAACGCGAGTCATTGACAAAATGCGAGGGGATTATAGATGTGTTATTGATCAAGTGCAAGAGAATATCAGTTGATGTTCTCTTGCTAAGAGTCAGGTCAAGATGGCTGGATATTAGCCGGGTTCTTTTTTTCGCCTTTTTTTGAACGGGAAGGACGCATATATTCGGCCATCCTGACCAAACAAGCTTGGTCAATTAAGGATTTATCATACAGCGAAAATATTTTGCTTTATCAAGAGTCAAGAATTACTTGAAGTAATTACTGTTCTGAAGTTCTCAACAAAAGAGGCTAAAAGTTGCATTTTTTCTCATTTTTGGTTAACCTTTTCAACTTCTTTAGTCATTATATGTCAGTGTTTAAGTGTTAATATGTCTAACAAGAGAGAGAAGCAAACAAAATTCTTCCGAAACAACAAATGACTTCGAAACATTTGTCAGAGAATCGCCCGCTAAACTGAACAAAGGACAAGATAGCATTCTTCACGATGTAGCCACCTTGAGGGCAGAAGTCCAAATCAACAATGCTTCCATGAGCGACATCTCAAGAAGACCAACAAATTTCAACCAGAATAACGAAGAAAGGGCGAGCTCCATGGAGCGATGCAAGAGTGACTCCTTTCCCTCGAGCGTTATTCGCGTGAATATAACCTGAGATTCCACAATATCTCGGATCCTTCAGGCGAAGATTGTCGTCATAAAATTGAAGGTATTCTAGCTGAGCAGCTTAATTTAAAACCGCCGATAGAAAATGCTCATCGTGTTGGCACATGGATCGCCGACAGCGAGCCAAGGACCATAAATCTATTTACCGTCCAGAAAGATTAAAAGTTCTTCAGAAGAAATGTGACCTCCCGAAAACTGTTTGGATAACAGAGGATCTAAATTGGGAGGATCGGGAGCTAAAGAAGAAGCCTAGAGATGTCGTGAAAGAAGCATTCGAAAGTGTAAAGAAGCCATGTTTTCATCTTAGGCAACTGTATACAGACGGGGCTTTGTTCAAAATTACATACTTGTCTTGATCACTGTCAGGTTAGTCAGTAAATATACAGAAATACGCCGAATGGAAGAATGAATGTGCCGGATGGTTAACAACTCAAATGATCCAGATTTAGATCTTTAATGATCATGGTATATCTCCAATAGAAGAGTTTAAAAAGTTCTCCAAGGTAGTTAAACCCTACCTTTCGATGTTACATCTATAGAATCAAATAATAAAGCCATTTCAAACAAAGAAGGCAACTAGGTCTTCAGTATGGTCCAAGTTTCTAGGGAAAATGTAAGCGGTCCTTTTTGTTTTACAGGGAAATTATCAGGGGTAATTCTAAACGAGCTAACTGCACTGCAGTATTAACAATAGTGCACCTAAATGCAGCTATATTTTTAATAATGCAGACACAAACGTTTTCGATTTAGTTTTATTGCTTTATATATTAAAATTACACATCTTACATCAGCTAACTTTCTTACTAATATGAAATAACAATTTTAGTAGTATTGGTTCTAATTTCAACTGACTTACCATAGTCCTTTTCATTGTTCTTCTCCTCAAAAACTTTTGCGTTTAATCCCATTACTTTTTCTTCATTGTGCTTAACATGATTCTCAAACAACTCTTCCTCATTTCCCTCGACATCCTTTTCAACTTTCCTAGGGAACCTTTCCTGCAATATTTCACTTGCTTTTCGTTTAAGTGTTGACGATGTACATTTATATTCTTTTTACCAATATCCATAGTAAAATAAGTTTGTTTTGGCCAAGGAAATTTAAGTCATGAAAGCTTTTCGTAGGTTTCATCGAACATCAAATTTTTAGTCAATACCACGGCCCTGAACTCTTTATGGTGGTCAAGTTTCGTTTTCAACTCAGTTGTTAACACTTAATTACCTGCTAGCATGAATTTCCTTCGGAGGTAGAAATTGCGTAACACTTTTTTTTCATCTTTGTGTGTGGTAATTTATGTATATCACCAACATGTGAT